TGTCACCAATATGTAACCTGAACTAAATTTAGTTTGTTTTCTCCTGGGAAAGGTCAGAGGATTTCCAAGGACAACCAAATGGATTTTAATAAGAAATTGCAGTATTTTTCAGAAGAGCCATGGCTTCTGAAAAACGATCGTTGTGTTTTGCTTAATGCAGATCCCATTTGATCGGAAGAGGGGTTTCAGATGGTTCTTGGAACAGCCCTGCATTAAAAAAGAGACGGGGGATTATAGATGGACATTCCGCAAAAGACCTCTTTTCTTTCTTTGCCCAACTGATTTTTGTTTTAAAAACAGAACCATTGTTCTATAAACAGTTGAATCGGTTTGTGTATTAGACCCAAATCCTTAACTCTAAGAACAAAGAAACCGAATAACGCAGCCTTTGTCGATGACAACTAGGTGGGGTCATTGTGAGGCATGAAAGCATTAATCACATGAAAGGCGGCTAAAACGTTTTGCTTTTTCAAACATTTTAATTTGGATGGATTGAGCAGAGCAGAACTTGGTATTAGAAATCATATCCCTCTTGGAAAACCTTAGAAAGGTGCCGTGATAATGCTTTCAGTTCGCGTGGAGGAGAGGGCACTGGCTGACCTTCGGTGGATTTCCTCGGGGGGTCCAACTTTTCCAGTGCTGGGATCTCTCAGCCCCCGTCCAGCATTACTAACAGACCTGACTCTGCATTTCATTTTCTCCACCCCCCCCCTTCCTTTCACTCTTGACATACATAAAGACTGCTGTTATCGGCTTATTGAGCCGACCTAGCAAAGGCAAAGGCCTCCGGTTAGACGCTGTAACCCCTGTGGTTAACGTGGACGGTCACAAGTCCCCGAGGGTTCTGCTTTCCAAATTTAGTTGTCTGGGGAAGTGTCACCCTGCCTAGGCAGCCATTTGATGGCACTGCAACCCAGACCCGCTGCATGAAAAAGAGGAACAGGATTAGATGTGAAAAGTTAAGTTTTTTTTTTCTTTTCAGCGTATCTTGGTGTTTTGTTTATATTTTTTTTATAAAAGAAAGATGATAGTTGATAGAGATAGATGATAGATAGATAATGATAGATAGAGTTGATGAGAGAGAGAGAGATAGTTGATAGTTGATAGATAGATAGATAGATAGATAGATAGATAGATAGATAGATAGATAGATAGATAGATAGATAGATGTGAACTGTTGCATTTCAGCAAGCTAGAATGCACAGAAGAAGTCCAAGGCTGAATCTACATGGGGTCACACACTTCTATAGGTCACGGGACCTTTGGAAGCTTTGAGCGTAGCCCCACCAGAGACCCTCCCAAAATGATCACCAAGTTCTCATTCTGAAGGTAGTCAACACCATACATGCATCTCCAGAACTTTAAAACATTCTGGGTCCTTCTAAAATAGCTTTCTCCAATCTCCCAACATCACAATGTGCTCCAAGAAACCTTTAGAACATCCACAACTAGGGGCCATCTTGGTAAAGAGGGATGGATGTTAGAGTCCAAGGTCCCTGGAAGGAGTCAAGATGGGGAGGCTGTTCTGAAAGGCTGTGCATAATAAAAATGAAGACGTTGCTGTGAATAGTCTCTTGGTTTGACTTCTGTTTCCAGGGTTTATGTTTTGGGTGAGTGGGTGGGGAGGTTAGAACATTTCTGAATCATTGTATGACCCTGACCGAATCATTGCACCCTCCTGATTTCCTATAAGTGAAATGTCGAAAACAATGTTGTCTTGTTCTTCCAGTAACTCTCCCAGATCTGTGAGTTTTCAGACCAGCCCCCGGCCCGCCAGATCAAAGTCCTTTCCGTTCAGCAAGAAAAAAGGAATTCTCTGTGTCTCTGATTATCTTCATCTTGTTTGACCCCCTGCTTTCCTGTGGATCGGCTTCACTACCGAAGCAGCTGGACTTTGGGGGAAAAAGGAAGCACCAGAATAATTTTATTTTATTTTTTTTAATGGGAAACACATTGGGGAGAAGGGGTTAAAGATGCGAGATGAAGGCAGGTGGGAAGAGGGTTTGTCCAAAGAACTTCGGGATTCAGCTCATCCTTTGGGGACCTAGGAGCAGCTTCGGGAGAAATGGAAGAGAGAGGTCAATAGAAGAGGATGTGTTAGGGGGAGAAAACCATGAAGATTTGGTCCCAGGACTTGCATTTATGCATCACAGTTCCCTGAAATGGCAACACTCAGTCCTGCTAATCAGGGTTTAGGGCAGTGTTTCTCAACCTTGGCCACTTTATGGGTGGACTTCAACTCCCAGAATTCCCCAGCCAGCTGGCTGGGGAATTCTGGGAGTTGA